TTGGGGTATGCAGTAGCACCCCTAGACCCAGGTGTGTGCTGGGCACAGGTTCACATCAAAGGGGCAGACTTGGGTCTGGTGGCATCAGGGATCTTTGATATTGCTGTAGTTGGGATCCTCCCGAATTCAAGCGTGCCAGGACGAATTTATATGTAATTTTCCCTGTCAAGGATAACATTAATTTAAATTTTATTTTATTTGTAGTGCTAGGGACCAAACCCAGGGCATCCTGTGTGCCAACAGGGTACGCTACCTCTGAACTATATCCAGAGCCCCAATTTAGGTTTTAAATTTAAATCAAATTGAAATTTTCTCTGTGTGTGTGTGTGTGTGTGTGTGTGTGTGTGTGTGTGTAGAGAGAGAGAGAGAGAAAGAAAAAAAGGAGGAAAAGGAAGAGGAGGAGGGAGGAAGGGAGGGAGGGAGGGAGGAAGGAAGGAAGGAAGGAAGGAAGGAAGGAAGGAAGGAAGGAAGGAAGGAAGGAAGGAAGGAAGGAAGGAAGGAAGGAAAGACGGGGGCAGGAAAACGTCACCCTGGGCAGAGCAAAGCCAGAGCCGTCCTGAGCACAGACGGCAGTTTGTGCTGCCCTTTCTTTCTTAAGGACAAAGTTCAGGCTATGAGTAATGAGCTCGGGAGGAACTCCAAAGCCTTTTTGGTTTCTTCTCAATAAAGAAGACTCTCTCCATGAGAACTTCGGGTGCCCGAGGCATCTGGCTGTCACCCCGGTTCTCGTCACATGAGGCCCACCTACAGGTGTGACATTCTGGTGTGCACACTAGGAGGGTGGCACACCTGGTGTAAATCCTGGCGCAGTCCTTCACTAGGCCTTTAGCAGATTGCTTCATTTGCCTAAGCCTTGTTTGCATTTATGCAGTAGAAAGGAAAGCTACCAGGTAGGCTTGTTAAAGTTAGATATGGATTAGTTACACAGGATACAAAGCAGGGCCCGCTGTGTAACAAGTACTCAGCTGGTGATGGAAGTGACCCTTAAAAGCTGCCTACCTTCCTGTCCACCTGGCGTCACTGTCATAGTACAATACCTGTGGGCACACGGCAGCAAAAAAAAAAAAAAAAAAAAAAAAAAAAAATCTAAATCAAGCAGACCTTTCTCACCGGACCTGACCAGCTGCCTAGAACTCCTGCACGAGCCACCTTCCTGAGCTGTTGGCCCAGTAAAAAGGGAGGTTCGGGTCCTTCTCACAGGACTCCCAGGGACCGAGGAGCTGTGCATGAGGGGTTCACGTGACATCTCTTTCTACCACACTGAATGCTAAGTGGCTGTAGCAGGGATGGAGGTAACTATGAAAGAAGAGCTGATCTTAGATTTTTCAGCCTGAGCTAGCTCTGATTTCTTCCTGGTGTTACGAAACTGAGCCAGATTTGCCTTAGCCCAAGGAAATACAACACAAGCCCCTTGAGATGTATTTAAAAAAACAAAAACAAAAAAAAAAAAAAAAAAACTTTATATAGCCAGGGGAGAGAAAAAGAATGAACTACTTTTATATAACAGGAGAGTGATGGTATTTATTATCTTAAAACCAGGTACATCTGAAACCTTTCATTTTGCTGCCCGTACCTATTTATTCACCTTGGCTAATGCTACTGTTTCAAATCTTGCCTTGGTGAACCACCATTATTATTTGGAAATGACGTTCCTTAAAGTGCTGTAACATGGAAAAGAAAACCAAGATAAACAAGATTTCTTCCAGAAGCATTTTTAAAACTCCATTCAGACGTACGTGAGTGCAGAACTCAAGTGGCGCAGTCGATTTCCTGAACTGTGCTTAGAATGAGCTGATCATTACGCGTGGCCACCGGCAGCAGGACTGGTGTGGCTCCTTGCTGCTGGCTGAGGCTCGGTCCCCGTCCCAGCACTCCTGAGGGCGGAGGGTCCAGCGCCAGCGGATGGTTGTCAACTGCAATTTCTAGCCTAGACTGTGCTCTCAGCCAATTCCAGCTGCTTTGAGATCCTGGGAGAGTTTATAAATAATAATTGGAATGTTAAATAACTAAGTGCCTAAAGGCTGAGAATTCAAAAGGACGAAACCACCAAGGCGTCCAGGAAAGCCCATCAGACGGCAGCGCCCGCTCTGCCCAGCTGTCCGCCTGGTCTCGCCCTGGGAGCCAGCGCGCCCCATGCAGCCAGGCCTCTCTCTGCCTGTCCCTGCGCTGCCCACATTCACCCGCATTCTTTTACGCCTGCACGGCCGGATACCACTCTCCACTCACTCCGGCTTTCCTGCTCTGGCTTTCCTGGCTCTTCCTCGCGGCCCTGTTGTAGTGGAGGGACCAGCCGGGTCTCCAGCTCCGCCACAATCCGCGCTGCCCGCGGCAGCTGGGCTGGCCTCCTGGGCGGCACCTGCTCCTGGGCCACAGCCTTCTGGGGGCGGCAGGGCTCGCGGTCGCAGCTGCACGGGCCGCCCAGAGCTCATCGGCTGTCGCTGTCTGATATTGCTCTGTGCAGCGCTGCCATCAAGCTTTACTCTGCTTGAAGTGCACCAGCCCTGCTCCTGCCCCCAGGGGTTCATGCTGCACGGGTGAGGGCCTGGGAGCCCTGGGAAAGGAGAGCAGTTACTGGCACGGCCTCATGGCCAAGTGACGTCTGAGCTGACTTCTGAGCCATGACCCACAGACGGATCCGTGAGGTCAGGGAGCAGGGAGCAAGCCGCCGAGGATGGTGTGGGCCGGGACACCAGAGGGGGTCACGGTGGACAGACAGGAGGGGTGAGCGGGCCCGGGCCCCACAGCGTGGCAGCAGCCTGGACCACTCCTCCATCGCCCTCAGAGGCGGCTGTGGCCGGTTGGGCTTCGGGCTGTCCCGCACCCCAGCGCTCCAAGTAAGACTGCTGTGGCCAAGCAGCACCCGCCCGACTCCTGCCGCAGGGCGTGAACGTGGCTTGTCAGTGGTGCCAAAATTCCAGAGCACTGGACAGGGCGGGAGCTTCCAGCAGACACAGGTGAGGCTCTGAAAGCGTGGCCGAGCCTTCAGCCCTGAGTGCGTGTTTGGTCAGCGGGCGACAGCAAGTGCAGTGAGCAGCACACAGGTAACAGCAAGCTGGCCGAAGCCGCGGGAGCCGACCTTCTGAGGAAGGCGAGCAGGGACGCGCGGCGGGGGAAGGAGGAGCCTCAGGAGGTGCTGGCTCCCGCGGAGAGCAGGGCTGGACCCAGCTCCGCCCTGGAGGAGGCCGCGGGGCGGGCCGGCAAGCAGGGCGTCTGGGGCCGGGGAAGAACCCGCATCCGTGAAGCCTGCTCGGGACACCCCACCTTCCGGCGCGCGCCTGGTTCTTTCTGCTTTCCGAAGCCTTTCTTTTTGCAAGCCCTTCCTCTGCTTGGGCGGTTTTTGCGGCCTCGTCCTGGCGTGATTCACAATGCTTAACTTTCATGGTCAGAAAATCTCGAGGTGCGCAGTGCCAGATCTCGTGGGTAAGACCGCACCAATGCCCGCAAGCCCGCCTTGGGACGGCTCGGCAGCTGCGGGCACCGGCGTGCCCGTCACACCACGTGAAGACGCTGGCAAGAGAGCTCAGGGAGCCGCTTCACAGGGCCGCTGGGGAGGGTCCTAGGTCCAGGCAGAGTGGGGGGGGGGAATACCTGGGTGCATTTTCCTGTCATTTTAATGTAAACATTGACTTGTGTCGTGAGATAATTCTAATTAGAGAGGTCTTTTCTGATTAGTGTACATGTAGCCAGAGGACCTTTTCTTCCTTGTTTCCTCCTTCATTACCCTCCCTCTTGTCCTTCCTGCTCTTGTAGCGTAATTTGGTGAGGCCTTCCTGAAAGGCCTGAGTTTGGAGCCCATCCCGTTCCCACTGACCAGGAGCACCAGTTTCTTCTCATCTGTGTTCTTGTTTTATTTTAATCTTTGGTTCTATTCTGCTGTCGTGCTTCATGCTGATCTTCCTGGTTATCGTGGGGAACCAAGCAGAGAATCCAGAAGGCCAGTCCTGTGGGCTGCTGGCTCGCCTGGCAGGGACGGTGCTGCTGACCAGAGTCATCCTGTTCTTGCCGTCCACTTTGCTTGGTATTAGCCTGTCACCTCCTCCACCACTATCGCTGGAGTTTAGGCCGCTGTGACAACGCACTACGGTGGGTGGCGGCATCAGGCATTTTTTCCTCATAGCTTGAGGGAGACAGGAGGGTAAGACGGGGCGGGCAGATTCTGAGTCTGCTGAGGGCCCGTTCTGATGGCTAGAGACAGTGTTCTCAGCCAGGTGTGGTGGTGCACACCTGTGATGCCAGCCCTTGGGAGGCTGAGGCAGGAGGATCAAGAGGCGAGCCTGGCTCTGTGGTGAGACCCTTTCTCAGAGAGAGACAGATAGAGAGAGAGACAGAGACAGAGAGCGAGAGTGAGAGCAAGAGAGACAGAGGGAGAGGGACAAGGAGAGGGAGAGGAGGGGGAGAGAGAGAGAGAGAGAGAGAGAGAGAGAGCGAGAGCAAGAGAGAGAGAGAGAAGGAACACATCTTATTTGCTGTGTCCTTGCCTGGAGGACCAGGCAGCTCGCTGGCCCCTCATAAGGGCACCGATCCTGTTCACGAGGCTCTAGCCGTGTGACATAGTCACCTTCCACAGCCTCACATCCTCCTCCCATCATGCTGGATCCCAGGATTTGGACATATGAATTTGGGGGACTAAAGCATTCAGACCATAGCATGTGTTTTCTCATTTGAAAAACAGAGACTGTGACACCTGTCTATCAAAATGAAAATTTAGTAGGGTTTTAGAAAGGTGTGCCACACCTCAGTAAAGGTTTAGACATGCAGCTATTTAAAACCACTGCCATGATTGGACTTGACTCCGGGCTAGGGGCGGTTTATTTCAGAAAGCAACTCCACAACAGAGATTTTGATAAACTGCTTTGTAGAACTTTACTGATCCAAGTAAGATGAACTCAGCATTTCAGGAGCGCAAGAGCTTCGGCTGGCGGGCGGGCTGGTTTTGCTTTTCCTCAGTGGTGCCCTGCCAGGCCCGCCTCGGTGCAGCAGGAGCCTGTTTCTGACTGCAGATTGCGGAGGGCATGGCCTACATCGAGCGGAAGAACTACATTCACCGGGACCTGCGAGCTGCCAACGTGCTGGTCTCAGAGTCTCTCATGTGCAAGATTGCAGACTTCGGCCTCGCTAGAATAATTGAGGACAACGAGTACACGGCACGGGAAGGTGAGCGGGTGTCCCAGTAGCCATTTTCAAGTGCTCTGCTAGTGTCTCACTTGTTTTGTTCCTGTCTGTTTTTAGCAAAGCAATTACAGTTCTTTTCAGTACTGGGTTTGAACTCATGGCTTCATACTTGGGGATAGCTCCAGCCTTTTTATTTCTTGAGACAGGATCCCGCTGAGTTGCCCAGGCTGGCCTCAGGCCTGCGACCCTCCTGCCTCAGCCTCTCTATTAACTGCTCTTTCAAAACGCACCCTACACCTGTGATGTCATCATCTGAAAAGCAGTTGTTTAGCGGAGTGTTCTCGGTGCTCCACATGCGTCTGCGAAGGGCTCTGCTGGAAGGATGCTTTTAAAAGTACTTTCCTGGGCTGGCCAGATAGCTCAGCAGACTAAAGCACCTGCTTAGGCGACGCAGAGGCCAGAGCTTGATGCCTGGCATGCTGTGCCAGCCCCGCCCCCAACGTGCACGAGATGGTGGTTGAGACGGCGTGGGGGTGCACACCTGATCCCAGTGCTTGGGAGGCTGAAAACGGGGACCACTACAAGGCCAGTCTGTGGAGTGAGACCCTGTAGACCCCGTAGACTTCACTACATTAAAAATAAATAAAAGTACTGGGCTGGGGAGATGGCTAAGTAGAATAAGCGCTTCCTTAGCAAGCACAAGGACCTGAGTTCAATCCCCGGTTCTGCAAAAAAAAAAAAAAAAAAAAAACAACTTTCCTGCTGAGTTCCAGGTGATTCTTTTATAGTTTCATAAATACTGTTATTTGTATTTCAATTAAGCAAAGTAAAACAAAAATAGATTTGACAAGACCAAGATTCTTTACGTTACATGGTGAGAGCTTTTCATTCAACTGAGGAAATGCCCGTGCTTTCCTTACCTGTGAAGCTCGTGTATTTATGTTCCGTGCTGTATGGTCTGGATATGATCCTACACAGAGAATTAGATACAATATGTAAGAAATGTGTCCCTTTATTTGCTCTATGCCATATCATTTGATAAAGGGTCTCACTGTGCAGCTCGTACTCCTAGTGATCCTCCTATCTCAGGCTCCCCGGTGCTGGGATTACAGGCGTGGGCCACTGTATCACCACGCACCCAGGGTTCTCGGGGGCCAGGACAGCATGTGATACCAGGGATTGAACCCGGATCCTTGTGCTCCCAGGCAGGCGCTTAGACCGCCGAGCTATCTCCCCAGCCTTCTGTATACCATATTGTACATGTGAACGAACGGTGTGCATTGTGCTGGGTGCAGTGGTCACACCTGTCACCCTGCTCCCTGGGCAGGAGGCAGGAGGGCCATGCGAGCCCAGCCTAGGCGCTTGCTGGGTTCATGCGACCTTGTCTCAAAATGAAAAGTGAAAAGGGCCCGGGAACGTGGTTCTCCACGCAGTCCCTCGGGGTGGTGTGGCACAGGCAGAGGCCCTGCTCCAGGGCCAGCAGTGCCGCCCCACTTGTCTCAGCCCTGCCGTCACAGTACCTGCCTTTTGGTGCTGTTTATGCCACGTCACGCACGTGGGCCTGCCCACCGGACACCGCCACAGCCTGGAGAGGCTCACAGGTTTGCCCCTCGACAGGTGAAGGCACCACAAAGGCCCAGACAGTAAGAGAGTTGCCAAGATTGCAGCCGGCAGGGAGTGGCTGAGCCAGGGTTCCGTCCTGGCCCCTGAGAACCGAAGTCCCACCCCACCTGCCCTGGTCGTGGAGATGGGGCCGGAGCAGGAATGTGAGACGGTCCCCAGCACACAGCAGCTGTCCCACCAGGCCCTCTGTACTAGTAGTGATCTGGTTTTAGGCAACAGAAATTCTCAAGCAGCGCCATAATAAAAGCAGTCTCTTATGTGGTCGGTGGAAGCCCCTGGCCTTTTCCAGGTGCCTTCATAGTCGTCTGTGCCTAGAGCCCACCGTCCTCAGGAGTGCCCTCCATGCTGTCCCAGGTCAGCGGGCCCCTCCCTGTCCTCACGCTTGTTGACAACTCCTGGAACATAACGTCACCATTGTCACATTCAAGGGAGGTCATTCTCCTCAGTCTCAAACTTCAATGTGTTTTATCCTCGCAAATGAAAAAGTGGGAAATTATCACTTGCGTTAGCATCTTAGAGATCACAACCACAAAAGCACGCACTGTAAGAAGTGTTTCTACTCCAGCAGAGGGCACGGCTCATGAATTCAGCAAAGTAATGCAATATTGTCCAGTCGTCCATCATAGTAGTGGGTCGTCCCCAGGACTGGCAATGTCAGAAGACATTGACTTGAGCCTTTTACAGCTCAGCATATTAATATGGCTTTACTTTTTATACCTTGTTTTTATACTTTTCTGCTGGATGGTTAAGACCAAGATAAAGCAAGACCTATATAACGAGAAATGTAGCTTTTGGATCTGACAAAGTCAGTCAGATCCCCTCAGGATTTACCCTGTAAATTCTGTAACCACAGTTTGTAGAGCCTTTGTCAGTGTCAGCCATGTGGATGAGTCACAGCTGTCGCTTGACCAATTTGCTCCCTGTGAAAGCCTGAGAGAATGTTTTCTCTTCATATGACTCTCCTTAGGCATACTCTACATCATCGATCACTTTCCACTGTGGTCCCTTAATCTCCTTGATCAGTAAATTTGGGACACAACTGAGTTACAGGATGTTACACTACAGGTTCTCCTATGTCCTTAGTCCTCATTGACCTTGAAAGGCTAGGGCCAAAATGTTGGCTGTCCTTGCAGCCTTTCTTTTTCTCCAATTTTTGGTCTGCAAACTTAAGTTGTTAACCCTCCAGAAGAGAAGCTTAATGATATTATTACCCTATAACACAGGCAGATGAGCTTAACCTCATTGTCTGTCTGAATATCAAACGCCTTAGACATAACATGGAATGGGTATTTTCCATTAATCGTTGATACGCTAAACTTTAAATCCATACAGAATGTGAAAAAAATTTTAAAAATTGAAAAAATAATAGTAAGTCCCCCTAGTGTAAGAACTCAAAAGAAGAAATAAAAATTGAAAGGTATAACACAACTAAGTAGAAAGCGAGAACTTAAGGATTAAACAACAAAGAGAGGGCAAGGAGAAAAGCTAGGAAACATGCCAGGGGCAAAGCCATACGTTTATATGCACAAGATGGTTAAGGCAATGGTCCTGAGAATCTTCAGCAGGTTTTCCAGACTAGCAGTTAACTGGTAGGATTCTCAGCCTGACTAGCTATATATGCTGATACCTGTGAACTAAGGAACTGCACTGAAGATAGCAAGGTGTGGTAGAAGGGTCATGCGTGAAAGCCTGTCATTCTGGTCTTCTAAAAATGTACTGCTTCTAATGTTATATCAATTACTGCTATACTCTCTCAAGTAAATGTTTAATAAAATAAAAGGGAAAAAAGTTAATAAATGAAAACAGACAAGAAAAAAATGTCATAGGACTGCCTGCTACAATGGTGTATATGGTTAGATTTCTGAATTTCTGTGAGGGCGCAGCTCAGAAGTACAGATGTGCTAGCCCAGGTGAAGCCGTGCCCTCAACCCCCAATGCCAGTCAGTCAGTGGGGAATAAAACACTTAGGTCCTGTGAAAACACGCACAGACTCATTAGCCAAAGAGTGACCGTGTCTCTCCCTTGGTTGTGGTCTCACCGTACTGCTTGGGTTGGCCTTAAACTCCAGCGTTCAGAGATCCTCCTGCCTCGGCATCTGACAGGGCTGGGACCACAGGCAGGCGCCACGCCTGGTTCTAAAGAAAATTTGAACTCTAAAGATCTATGTTTTGGAGGCTGGTGCCGAGGGACACACATATACACTAAAAATAATGGGCAGGTTTCTTTCTATTCCATATCATGTTCTTTTATGTTTAAGGCTGCCAGGTCCTGCCCAGGAGGGTGATCACACATCAGACTTGGCTTCCAAAGACCGAGAGCCGAAAGGAAGTGGGAGAGGGCGCAGATATTTCCTTGTGATGTTTTGTTTGGTCGCCCTTTGGTACTCTGTGTTATGTATTCAAAATAAAAATATTTTAAGTTCTTTCCACGGGAAGAGCAAAGCATCCCCGGTTCGTAACATGTTGGTTTCAGCTGAGACACACAAGTAAGAGCCACGTGTCTTCTTCCCCAGGTGCCAAGTTCCCCATCAAGTGGACGGCTCCGGAAGCGATCAACTTCGGGTGCTTCACTATCAAGTCTGATGTGTGGTCCTTCGGAATTCTCCTGTATGAGATTGTCACCTACGGCAAGATTCCCTACCCAGGTATTGCTGTGCTGCTTCCCCTCGGGTGGTACATGGCGGAAGCGTCGCGTTGTGGAAGGCGTTTTTAAAAGGCCTCCTCTTTGCAGAAGTCAAGAATTCACCCTTCCGGGTCAGAACCGGATGCTCTTCACAGCCTGCCGTGCAGAGGGCCGCGGGGCGCCCTGCTGCTGCTTGCTGTCCGCGTGCCGAGTGCTTGCCCCTTTCCCTCCCTCCCTCATCCCAGCACTCACCCAGGCCCAGTATGTGGTTGGTGCTGCCCTGGGTGCTCCCAGAGGGACGTCCCAGAGGAAGGGGGAGGAGGTCGGAGACGGGGATTCCCAGGCCTTCTGGTTGGGGGTGACCCGGGGCTTTGTGTAAGTGCGAGGACTCGCTCCTTCCTCCAGAAGTAGCTGCCTTCATTCACCAGTGAGTGACCTTCTCATCTTTACCTTGCTGGTATCCGTGGAGACCTCAGTCCATGCAGACCTCAGTGCATGGCGCCGGGTTCCTCACACCTGAGGCCCTCCATGCCGGGCCCGGCAGCCCCTCCCTGCCCCAGGCACATGCCATCCTAGTTCAAAGAGGAATTTCTTGCAAATCCTTTACTTCTCAGTAATATATGGACTATATATATATTCAGTGATCGGTCTGTTTCAGCCTCCCCTGCCCTGGGATTACAGGCATGTGCCACCATGCACAGTCTCAGTGGCTGGCTCAGTGTGCCCAGGGGCAGGGCTAGCACAGCCTGTGGCGATGGGGACTGAACCCCGGTCCCTACAGTAAGCAGGCACTTAGTCTGCTGAGCCATCTTGCAGACCCTAATATGTGACTTCTAACAAAATCTGTGGCTAAGATATGAATTTAAAGGTCTAGCGTGTCAGGCCCTCTGAAAGGACTAGAGCCGCAGCAACCTCTGCCCCTCCCTGTGGCCTGGCATTGCCATGGGCAGACTAGTGACTTCAGACAGACATCGGGTCTGTGGGGCGGGGCACCTGGAGTGTGTGTGGGGTGAGCGGGCACTTGCTGAAGTGAGGAGGGGGCGCCAGCTCTCAGGGACAAGGAGGAGACACTGTGGCCTTCTGGGGCTGCATGTTCCACAGGGGACCAGCCAGGCCTGAGGCTGGGCAGCAGGACGGGGCCAGCTGTGTGGTTATCTGATCTCAAGTCATCTAATCTCAAGTTGTGCCCCATGGAGGAGAAAGGAAGACAGAGTGGCACTAGAGCTAGTGACAGTCACCAAGTCTCTGTGAAAGGCAGTGCTTGTCCTATAGCAGATCACCCGCCCGCACGGGGTGGGCCTCGCTGCAGACCAGGCGGCAGCTGTGAGCGTCATCCTGGGGTTTCTTCAGGGCCCCACTGTCCCGCCTTTTCTTTCTTCTCCAAGCTTTGTCCTGTATTGGCTCCAGTGTCTTTGTTCACTTGTGCACTGGAAGCCGGACTTCAGCTTCTCTGTCTGACTCCACTGATGGGGTCAGGTCCTGCGGGCAGGACACAGCACCCTCACCTTCATCTGCACCACTAAGAGCACTTTCTTCAGAGTTAGAACAAAGTCAGAAGCGTGTGCGGGGCTGGGGAGATAGCTCGGCGGCACAAGCACCTGCCTGGCAGGCCAAGGTACTGAGTTCTATCCCCAGTACAAAAAAGGAAAAGAACAAGCATCTGGGGTGAGGCTGGGGACCCCAGAAGGCCCCGTCTTCTGAGGGCAAACTCCGTGGCGTCATACGCTGAGAACTCCCCAGAGAGGCAGTGGAAGCTGTCCCAGCCAGGCTGGCAGACCCAGGTGCTGCTGTGTTCGTTGCCCCACCAGGACTCTGGAAGGTCACTCAGGGCCCATGCAGGGGCGAGACAGTTCTGAAGTTTATTCCGGCGAGTTTGGCTGGCTCCAAGGACCGGAGCGACTCTAAGGCTACATCACCTCACAGAAAGCTCCAAATAGAGAAGGGAGGCAAAGCCACTGTGCAGCTTGTAGGCACTGCTTTCTGGGCAGTGAAGACCAAGCGACCTCCACATCAAAAGTTCCAGTTATGCAAATATTTGTCAGTGGTATCTGATAAGTAAGGCTGAGAGAAACAGGCTCACCAAGTGAGCAGCACTCGGGGACAAAAAGTGATTGCCTGGCCGCCAGGTAGCTCAGTGGATTAAAGCTCCTGCTTAGGCAGAGGCAGGGGCTGGAGTTCAGTCCCCTGAGGGCTGTGTGGCCCTGCCCCCAGGACATGCTGAGGCAGCACCTGAGACTGGGCGAGGTGGTGCGTGCCTGTAACCCCAGCTCTTGGGAGGCTGAAAACAGGATTACTGAGTCCAGTCTGTGTTGTGAGATCCTGTAGACCCTGCACTAAGATACGTAAATAAAAATAAAAGAGAGCTTTTCAGCCCAGATGTAACCCGTCTCCATTCAGAGCTTGAAGTCGAAGCGGGCTCTTAAGTCACCCTGTCCTTAGAATGGTCTGTGAAGAGCCCGGGTGTCACTCACACGCCACAGCCCCCTGGGAGGTACATGCAGAAACCCACTTTGTAGCTTTTCTATGTAATTTTCTGTAATTCATTTAAAAAAAAATACTAGTAGTGACCTAAAAAATCAATTTATGCATACCAACTGGGTAGTGGCCTATATTTGCAAAACCTGGCTTAGAGAAAAGAATTTCAGAGCTTTTATTTGAATTCCATTAAAGCTGTTTTCGCTAAAATAATTACCTATCCTTGAGGATTCTTCTAGCCATCGTTGGTGTTAGACGCTGTAGCAGTGGTGGGCTGGGAAGGTAGCGGGAGACGCAGCACAGGCCTATCACGCCATGCTCTGGGGTCCTCCCCAGCACAGCCGAACAAAGGGGGCGGGGGGCCTACAGCTGTGGAAACTGCCTGTGAGGAGTGCCAGATGCCATGTATGTTCTGCATGAGCAGTCAGCTCTAGAGAAACTCGTATCTCTATGGAAAATATAGACAAAACATGTAGACAAGGACAGATGGGCTAAAACTGCTAAAAGAGCCTTCTTCTATCCCCCGTCAACAGTGGAAGGAAATGCTGTTGGTAAAGTACCCTTCCCCCCAAGCCTGTCATCAGTACTGGAGACCCCCAGCCCCCAGGCCATCTCCAGTCCCCCCAAGTCGTCACAAGGCCTGGTGCCTCCTGCCTCGGTTTTTTTCCTCCTAGATGCAGAGTGCAGGCTCACTGAGGGCCGGGGCACCTTAATCTCCAGGTGGAGTGCCTGCCTCCACTCTCTTCGGAGCCCGGTTTCCTTCTGTCACTGTGTTGCTCTGAGAGGGCCCCAGAGTGATGGGACACACAGAGCACAGAGCGAGGCTCCTCAGGGGCCCGGTGCGGGGCTCCCGCCCAAGTCAGCCTTAGATCTGAGTCCTTTGCAGTCTGTTATCAGGTGGTCTGATGAGTTGCTGACTTTAAATTTGCAGTGAGGGCAGGGGGTGGGGTGTGGCTCAGCAGCATAAGTGCTGGCCCGGCAAGCACAAGGTCCCGAGTTCCATCCCTGGTACTGAAAGAAAAAAAAAAGAATGGAAAAAATAGATCTGCCAGGGAGATAGCTCAGCAGCATTAGACCCTGCCTGGCAAGCTCAAGGTCCCGAGCTTGATTCCCAGTACCACAAACAAAAACAAGCCAAATAAATTTGCAGTAAAAAGCCATATTTAAAAAAAGTTTAAAAAGTATGAGATAATGTGTGCAAAAATAATTTCTTGATAAAGATAGAAACTTCAACAGGTGAAAACTTAAAAAAAATTTTTTTCTACCTTCGCAAGGAAATTGAGATTGGGAATTAAAGTTGGGTTGACAAGGTCCGTCACGTCAGTCGTGCCCGGGATCCTGTAATCGTTAGACAGGACCTGCGTGGCCTCCCACTCACCATACTAGCGTGGTTTTGCTGTGGCAACCTGAATTTCGTCCTGTTTCCACATTAGAATGTACCCGTTGATCCATTTAAATCCCTTTGTTCTCTATATTACTTTGCTAGGGTAGTGCTAACACCACGGCGTAGGTGACTTCATTATTTATTTATTTGATACAGAGCCTTGCTCCGTAGCTCAGATTAGTAGCGATCCTCCCTGCGCTGGGATAACTGGCATGCGCCACCTCATCATTTGGGGGGCTGGCACGGCACGTGATTCCCAGGGATCGACTGGGCCCTTGCACGTGCCAGGCAGGCTCTTGGGGCGCTGAGCTATCTCCCCAGCCCTGTCGGCGATTTTAACAGCAGAAATTCAGTTCACACAGCCTGGCAGCTGGAAATCTGAGATGCGGGAGCTAGTGGGGAGCACCATCTTCACCCGGGGACATCACATGCCCTTCCTCTGTGCCTGTCTCTGTTCTAATCTCTTCTTCCTGTGACACAAGATACATTGGATAGGGGTCGGGGAGATGGCTCAGTAGGATAAGCGCTTGCCTGGCAAGCACAGGGGCTTGAGTTCAATCCCTGCTTCTGCAAAAAAAAAAAAACAAGACGCACTGGATTAGGGCCCCACCCCATGGCCCCATCTTAATTTAATACCCTTGTAAAGGCTTCGCTGCAGTTCCGCCTGTGGACTTGGGGAGCACACCCTTGCGCTCGTAACCCTCGTAGCTGCGGGCATGAGTAGCACAAAGCGCCCACGGGGTTCCTAAATGGCACGGGATTTTTTTGTTTTCTGTTGGCCTTAGGGAGAACCAATGCCGACGTGATAACCGCGCTGTCCCAGGGCTACCGGATGCCCCGCATGGAGAACTGCCCGGATGAGCTCTACGACATCATGAAGGCGTGCTGGAAAGAGAAAGCAGAAGAGCGGCCCACGTTCGACTACCTGCAGAGCGTGCTGGATGACTTCTACACCGCCACGGAGGGCCAGTACCAGCAGCAGCCGTAGTGCGGCCCGCCGGACGGCTGCCCGGGAGGAAGGAAGGAGCCGCCCGGGCGCCGGTCCGGTGCTGCGTCGTCGCGGCATCCGTCCTGGAAGCCGAGGCTGCGTTTCTCAGGAAGAACAGCCGGCCCGGAAGTACTGTGTTCTCAGCACCTCGTGTCCACTGGAGCGGAGCTGGACTGCCTCGCGACCACCTTCGGGCCTCTTAGGAACACACGCGCTCCACACTGGCCCCGCGGTCAGAGCCGCGTGCACACGTGCGTGTGTGCGTGCGTGTGTGCGTGTGTGTGGCTCAGAGGTGCAGGGTCTGCGGCAACAAATCTACAATAATCGCCGAATTCAGCTCATTTATCAAGCAGAAGTAACCAGATACACGGCGTGGCTCTTGGCATTTTCTCTATGCTTTGACTTACCTTAAAAAAAATTACTAACCCAGCCTGTTAGATTTTCCAGGGCAGACCAGCAGCGTACAATCCGCTTGCCCCCACTGCGGCGTTTCCGTCTCAGGGGCTTTATTCCCCTCCCCTGAAAGCCTCCGAGTGGTGAACATGGTCCCGCCGGACCCCTGATCAGCCACTGCCCAGTGGCGGCGTGGCTTGTGGCATCGTGGGTCCCCATGAGGAGCCTGACCCGCCCCGCGGTGTCCAGGCCCGGAAGCGCCTCGGGAACTGCTCTGCCTTCTGGAGGAGGATTTTTAACTGTCTAACCTTTTAATTCCTCAATTTCCTAGATAAAGACTTTTCTAAAACAAGCAGTTCCTTTTTGCTTCAGATGATTCAAATGTTATTTTAAGGATCAGATATTAATTTGAGCTATACTCTAGAAAGTAAAAATGCTGTATTTTGGGCTATTTTTGTGATTTAGCAATCTTTTCTACATTATATGAGATTTGTGTGAGACTATTTATACCCTTGGATGTGGAGAAAATAAAGTCAGGCAGCCCGTGCGGCTGCTGCGGGAAGGCTGAGAGGGCTTGTCGGCTGGGTTCTTGCGCTGTGGAGATCGAATGCAGACCGCCGTGTGCACCGTGTCCGCTTGCTATCATGTGTTCATGGAATAATTTTATTTTTTATTTTATTTGAATATATGAGGTGCAGTAGCACGTCTGGCTTTTTTTGCTCGTGTCCAGCATTTCCAACTATTGACAATGAGAGAACAGCACCAGGCCGGGGGAGGGATTGAGAATGGGCCCACCTAGCTGGGCGCTGCGCTTCTGGGCTTCTGCGGGAGCCTGAGCGCTTGGCTGGAGAGCCGGGAGCTGAAGGCCCGCCCTCCTGGGGCCAGCGGGGAGCCTTTCCCAGGCAGTGTCTCACCCAGTAGTCCTGACCTTGGACTCACAGTTGTAGCCCTGGCTGGCCTCAAACTCCCGATGCTCCTCCTGCCTCAGCCTCCCAAGTGCTGCGATGACAGGCACGCGCCATCATGCCCAGCTTGATGGGGTTTGTTTCTGAAAAAGGTTTTGCAGGCACTATCAAAATCTTTTTTATGTTTTTGTTTAGGTTTCAGTTGCCTAAAGGAGGAATCAAATACTGTACTTTCCCTAAATTTTAACTGTTCATTTTCCTCTGTGATGTTTTCAATGTCCTTTCTGAAGGAGTCTACAAATCTCGGTTCACAATTGCCATATTCACAAACACAACACAATCATCACATAGCCGGCTGCGTAATTCACAGCGGTAAATTGGCTGCCTTCCCCATTTTATCTCAAAACCCAGTATGTTGCATGCGCAGGAAGTGTAAAGAATCCTAGGGCAGAAGGAATTCTCCCGCCTCCGGCCCCCACCCCCGCCCAGCATCTGCACACACAGATCCGACCTACTCCCACACAAGGCTTTGGGGGCGCCTGGACACAGCCATCGATGGCAGCCAGTACAACAGTGACAGAAGGTAAGTAAGGAAAGTGCTCTAAGTGAGAAAAACCAGGAACAAGTATGAGGAAGGTCATTCGGAGGGGATTACAGAGAGGGTAGAAGGACAAGAAGAGACAGCGAGAAAGGGCTTCCCAAGGTAAGAGGCCTTCAGGTTTGGCCTTCGCCATCAGACAGGGCCCTGGCTCAACAGCAGACTCCAGGGAGAAGCTTCGCAGAAGGTGCAGCAGAGGGTTGGGATTGGATGCGTGGGGGGCGCCCACCCCAACGGAGGTAGGGCCGCTGCCTCAGTCAGAGACCCCCAGGCCCACCCTGCAGGATGGGCCCTAAAGTAGCAGCTAATGCCGCCCTCTCAGACCTCCCTGTGAGATGCAGGGGTGAGAAGGTGCTTACGGGCAGGGGAACCAGATGAACCCAGTGAGGCCATAGCTCTGAGCAAATGCAGGCTGAGGGCAAGAACGGCCCTTCGGACAGTGCTGGGGAGCACAGCAGAAGGAGCACGCTGGGCTGAGGGCCGCCTGGGCCCGCGCGGCTGGTGCTCAGCTACCAGGTAGAGCCCTAGAGCCCTAGAGCTGGTGGCGCAACTGCTCCCCTCAGGTCACTGTGAGGAGCAGGTGCAAGAACAGTGAGTGTGGACTAGCCAGAAGAGGTCCACGTATCGAGGAAATGAAGATGCTGCTGACTCGGGATGAGGGGTGAGGTCGGAACGACGCAGTCCAGCAGCAAATGGTGTGAGGGACGGACGGCCAGGACCAACCCAACAAGCGTGGCCCACAGAGGAAGAGCCAGAAGCAAGCTAGACAGGGGTCTCCTCATGGTTGGGGGCTTGCAAGGGGAGCTATACAGTACAGGACACACTTTATAGGATGGTTTTATGATTCACCCAAAGAATCGTGTACAAAGAGTGCAGGAAATCTGTCCATACTCAAGACCACAGACTCCAGCCACAGCCCTGGATCCTAATGTCCTGCATGAGTCCAGCTGAAGAACTGGAGCCATCACAGTGCCTCCCACACGCCCAGCTGGAGCCCTAGAGCCCATGGCAGTGTCTCACGCTGATCTGCTTCATTTTTTATATTAATTTTATTGAGAAAGAAGTAGCAGTGAGACAGTTTCAAACCAGGTTAATAGGACAGTTACAAGAATTAATACACTGAATATTGTTGTCTTTGCAGTATTCATAGTATAAGATGCAGCAGGATGTCTAAACGCTATTAGTTCAAATCTTTCTTCTCATTGAACTAAAAGAAAGTAGCTGTATATCTCTGCTGTTTTGTACATACTGATATATTTTTTTTCACTACAAAATGGTAAACAGATTTTTTATTTATGTATTTCTGTATTTTAGGGAAGGGTCCACAGAGTGTTCAGGGTCTCACTACTAGATTGGGCTCATAGTGATCTGCCTGTTTACAGCCTACCAAGAGCTGGGATGACAGGTGCGCACCATCATGCCCCATCTCAATTGCCATCTCAGCGTGCCCTGGGGCTGGGGCTGGCACAGCAGGCCCGGGGATCAAACCCCCGCCCCTGTGTCTGCTTGCCAGCGCGTTAATCTGCTGAGCTATTTGGCCAGCCCTACAGGTCTGCTTCGCGAATCTGCTCTGGGAAGGCCCAAAGGCAGTGATAGAAGCTGGGAAGTCTGTGCCAGTGATGAAGGATCCGGGCCAGCAGGTTGGGGGAATCTGAGCTGGACCCGGGAAGTGATGCTCAGGGTAAGCACCAGAGCTCCCCAAAGGTACCACAGCCACCCTCAGCAACAGTGAGGCCCAGCTCCTCCAAGGACAAGGAAAGCCGAGTTCCCATCAAGAAAGCCAGTGTGACAAGCTTCTCCTGGAGGCTGAGCAGGCACCATCTTTCCCTCTGGAGCCAGGAAGCGATGCTCAGGATGGGGACCAGAACTCCCTAAAAGGAGCCGCAGCCGTCTGTAGCAACCAAGAGGTCCCAAGCTCCTGGTCCAGCAGGAACAGCCAAGCTCATCAGCACAAGGCCCTCCAGCAGAACAGCCCAAGAGAACGAGCAGCCTCCACCAGCTCCACCAGCTTCCCCAGTGGCCTCCCTACCAGCCTCTCAGCAGCTTCTCCTGTCCTGCCTCATGCTGCTGGCAGCGACCCTCAGGTGGCCTCCCCCGCCCAGGAACACCCCGGCTCTGTTCAGCTGGTGGCCCACGCTGACCACCAGGGAGCACCCCTACAGATCTGTTATGGAAAACTCCGTAGTGGCGGACTCTCACAACAGCCAGAGACGGGGTTTTCTAGTCTTAGCGTAAGCTAGTCTGCACTACACAGCGAGACCCTGTGTCCAGAACACCAACAAATTTTTTTAATTAAAAAACATAGATTTGGGCTAATGTGCTGAAATCTGCTTGCTCTTTTTGTAACCATCACCCCTGCCTGTGCAGTCAGACCTCAGGTCACAAATATTTCTGTTCATGAATAATTCAGTTAGCAAACAGAACCATTTGGCAAAGCTTTGCTTCCCTTGCAAACTCCACATCGGATCACAGGCCCAGCTTCGGCCCCTTCCCTGCACCTTGAGTGATCAGGAACACAGCCACCCTCCGTGGAGTCAGGGGAAAATCAAGCTTGTAACTGAGGGGCTGCTGCAATTTGATTTAAGCTCAAGTCATAACTTTGAAAAGCTTCAGATAAGGAGCTGGACTGTGGAGGCTGCGGCATCGTGGCTGGAGCTGTTCGCTCTGGAAGTGATGCATCAGCATCCTAGTTCCGGGACCTCAAAATGTGACCCTATTTGGAAATCACACGCTATCTTTGTGATCAGTGAAGTGGGGACCACATGAAGTACAGCAGCCCCCTAATCCAACACGGCTGGTGTCTGTGAGACCACCACGCACAGAGACACACTCACGGAGGGAAGACACGTGATGACACCCAGGGGGAAGATGGCCGTGTCAAGCTAGTGAAACCTGGCGCCCACCCTGCTGACATCTTGATCTAAGGCTTCCTGATTCCAGACCTGTGCGACCATGAATTTCTGCTTTTTAAGCCAACCACTCTGTGGGACTGTGGTGTTACAGCCCTAGAAAAGCAACACAGCACCCTGGTGGCATTGTGGGAGTGGTCAGTACAGAAACTGGAAGAAGCCGCCCTCAGGAAGGGGGAGGCGGGGTGCTCTGCTGTCCAGCGCCCCGCAAATACCTCTGTATGCAAGGCTTGGTCCCTGCCTGTGGCGCTCTTGGCGGGAAGTGAGCCGCCTTAGGAGGTGGAGCCAGTGAGAGGGAATTGGGTCATGGGGTAGATCCTTGAAGGGACCACAGGACCACTGCAGCCCTCCTCCTCCTTCTCCTCCTCCTCCTCCTTTCTCCTTCTCATTGTTTCTCGCTGTATTTCTCTCCCCCTCCCCACTTCCTCCCTTCCTCTCTCTCTCTCTCTCTCTCTTCCTCTCCCTCCCTCCCTCCTTCTTCCTCCCTCTCTCTCCCTCTGTCTCCTTCTCTCCCTCCCTCCTCCCCCTCCTTTCCTCTCCTCCTCCTGTTCCTCCCTCCCTCCCTTCCTCTCTTCCTCACTCCCTGGCCACCATATAGTGAACAGCCCTCCTCTGTAACATTCTCCTCCACAAAATCCTGTGCCCCCAGACCGAGACAGCAGGGCAAGTGGCCACAGCCACTGGCCACAGTAAGCTCTTGTCGGGCAGTCTACACATGACAGGTGAGCTCCAGCAGGGTTGCACATCTGGGATCAACCAGCAGTCCCTGCACCGCCTTCCAAAGGCCCCAGATGTCAAAGTATCAGAGTTCAGGAAACAAAAAGCCTGTGGAGGCACAGTGTTAAAGGCAAGGATGAGGCCGAGGAGGAGGATGAAGGGCACCGCAGAGGGATGCGGGAATGGAGGCCTCTCCCCAGCTCCAGCAGGGCTCCCAGCTGTTTGATAAAGCAGTGGGAGGAGGTAAAGAGGGTGGCCCTTGCTGAAGAGGCAGGGGAGACAGAGAAGGAGGCCGAGACCCGAGAGGGGCTGAGGCCCCACGAAGGCTCCTGTAGGGACCTGGGGTCACAGGGCGAGCTGGGATCGCCTCCAGCTTTCTAAGGCAATTAATGGGAAATCTCCCTGAGGCAGATTTGCCTCTGCAGTTAGACTCCAGCAA